CTCTCTCTCTCTCTCTCTCTCTCTCTCTCTCTCTCTCTCTCTCTCTCTCTCTTGTTTTGTGCATACTTCTAATTTTTTCTGTTTCCCTTTCTTTCCCACTTTCTCTTTTTCATACTTCCCAATACTTGTCTCTTTCTCTCTATTATCTGATTTACTTCTTTTGCCTAATATTTCTAAAGTTCTCTCACTTTCATATCTCACTTCACATCCTTCTCCCTCTTTCTCTTTCTCTCTCTAACTTACTCTCATCGACTTTACCCACACTCCTTTTCCTACTTATTAATGAACCAACTTTTCTTTCTCTTCTTCTTCTACTGAAAAGCGCAACGAATCCAAACCCTTAAGCTGGGACTCCGAATGGCAGCGTTGCGGCGACTCCAATCCCCATGGTGTTTACATGAACATCGTGAGCAACAAGCAGGAGCACACAAACTTCGGGGAGTTTCCCTGGGTCGTGGGCATTTACAAGAATCCGAATATATTCCTGGCCGGCGGCTCACTCATTGCACCAAAGATAGTACTGAGCTCGGCCAAGCAACTGTTTAGACTAAAGCAGTTGAAGGTCAGGGCTGGTGACTGGGACATTGCGACAGACAATGAGATTCTGCCCTATGAAGAGCGTGAGGTGCAGTATGTTCTCTGTAATGACTTTAACATACGCACCAATGGCAATGACATCGCGCTGCTTGTGCTTAAGCGCAAATTCAACTCTGCACCACACATTGGCACCGTCTGCTTGCCCGTTAGCGGGCCATTCGATTTGGCCAACTGCCGTGCTATTGGCTGGAATGAGAGTATCGGTGGTGGGCGTGCCCTAATGATCAGCATGACAATGAACTTTACCCAATGCGCCGCGGGCACAGATGAGACCCTCTTCTGCGCCAAAGGCCATCGCCGCACTCTCAGATATGCGACCGGATCGGCGCTCGTCTGTCCCAAATCCTATGCGAGCGCCAATCGGTACTACCAAATCGGAATCTGGAGCCATGGAGACGGGCCAAGAACTCACATCATGTTCACAAATGTGACCAAATTATTGACGTGGATCCAAGATATACTTAGCCATATTTAATGCCCCGTTAACTGATGCCATCGAGTGATGAAACTATATATTAAACTAATATATAATATATATAATATATTGGCTATATAAATATAGAGCAATAAAAATAAAAATGCAATTTAAGTGATCCTTGAATATTAAATGAGGCCAATCAATTGAAATACTATTTACATTTCGATTAAAATATATTAAGAAATAATATATACATAGATTATATTTGCCGTTTCATTTTATAAAAATAGCAGACTTAAAAAAAATGAAATAAATCTGTATATTATTTAAGCACTGTTGATTAGCTCATTAAAAATGATTAAAATAAATAATAAAAAAAAAATAAAATTAAAATAATTAATTAACACACAGTCGTTTTTAGTTATATAGAATGTGGAAAAATTAAAATTAAATTAAAGAGTTAAATTCAAATTTATGATTTATATTTATATTTTTTTATGTCCAATTCCTGCTATACTTATATATATATTATATAATATTTTTTGGAGCACTTATCTACTGTACAAATTTTTGCATGTCGCATCACGTCAGTTCTTTTGCAGACGCTTTAAGACTTGGCCAGAGGCTGGTGGCAATTGTTGGTCCTTTCATTCGTTTGGCATCAGGAACCACATGTGGTGAAATTAACGCCGTAACCGTAACGCATTACGGGCTTCAACTGGCGCAGTGCCTCGACTCTGCTACTCTTGGCGGATAGCGGATTCCACATAAATGTGGCACACAAACACACTCGCGTACAGCCGTGTGGGCCGCCCGTTGCGTCGCGTCTGAGCCGTCTCGCTAGCTGGGCCATTTCTGTTTTTATTCGCTCAAATGTTTATACATTAGCAACATTTGTCGGCTTCCTTTTCGCTCGTCGCAGGTGCTGATTATATTGAAAATTATTAGTAAAACATTGCAATGCCAATGGTGGGCGGGCAAACGGGCAGACAGGCGAGCCACGCCCAAGCGCTGCATGTGGCCTATCAAAATTGATTGCATACTTTGCGGCGTGCCAAATGTGCCCCTCGATGATGGCAAGCGCGTGTGCCTGTGTGCATGTGTGCATGTGTGTGAATGGATATGCGTATGTGGCGTGTGGTTATGTCTATGTGTTGGCAGCAGAAAAAAAAAAACTAGCGATCTGCAAAACAAAATTGAAGGAAAGCAAAAATGCATAATGAAAAGTTGATTTCCTTTATGCACTTAAAAATAAATATAGTTTTAATTATAAATATATTAAGTGGAAATTCTGTTAAAATTATTTATAACATTTTCTATTACACTATTGCTAAAGAAATATATTTTTAATATATGTATATATTTTTTTTGCTTTTTCAATTATAATGTGTATGTATATATGTTTTTTCTTTTTCAATTTTTTGTTACACACTAGATTTACAGATTTTACATTTAAAAGAGATTCTCTTAAAATTTATATATTTGGTCATCGTGACAGTTCCTCTGAGTTGCATCTGCGAGCACGCACGAAACAACTGCACTGTTCTCACGTGAAACAAGTCGTGTCGAGTCGTGCGTGCTCGTGATGCCACACATATGGACGAGCGCTGATTCGCAATCGAATCTGTACTTAAATTTGTGGAAGTGTACTTTCATGGCAATAACAGGACTGTGTATAATGTCTAAGCAATTTGGAGACATCGTCTAGGAAGTATGCCAGCTTGTCGGGATCGCGATAGACGTCACGGGTCACTATCAGCTTCTTAGCATTCCAAATATGCCACTTACGCATGCTGTTGATGACATCGCTGCAAAAATCGCCTTGCACCTTGCCCAAATGCTCCCACATTTTTTGCGATTGCGCGCGGAATTTCCCTGATTGAATTGAGTTGGGAGGTAAGAAAGAATGAATATATTTAAAATGAAAATTGGGTTCATGATATCACTGAACACATTTGTTACTCACGAGCAATTTGGGTGTTGCGTGTCTTGGCTATAGTCGGGTTGACCGTAGCTCTGTCGTATGCCGTAATAATCTTGTACATACACAGCTCTATGGGCCTGTTGATGGTTATGTCCTCGCGACAGGGCTCGCACGCACTATTGAAATTTGGGCCCGCATAGGGCACATTCGAATAGTGGGCGCTTCGCTCAAACTGAGCGGCTTGAGTCCTTGCCTGATTTTCGCGACGTAAGCGCTGATAGCTCGCACGATCATTGAGAAATCGATACGTCATGCTGGTCATCAGTTGCTCCACCTTCGATAGGCAGCTGTGGGCAAGCAAGGCAAGCAGTTGAGTGTTGAGGGAACGTGAGTGTGGGTGTGTCTGCATCTAGGACTCACTGGGAGTTGCGTAGCGAGTAGATGCCCGGTATGGAGTATGTGCGCAGCAGATGATGCAGCTTGCAGGCCACATCATTGAGCAGATCCTCGGCTGCACGGACTTGCATGCGTCGCAGAGTGTGCACATCGTGGACCGTCTTCCGGACGTACCAGCCCCGAAAGAACGCCTGTATCTTGGTCGCAGCCCTGTTGTAAAAGGCGATCGCTGCATCCTGCACCATCTGCTCGACGATGGAGAAGAAGCGATTGCGGGCGTGAAAGCCTCGCCACCATCTTTGTATGGTGATGGCTGCCTTGGTGGCATACAGGAATGCTTCCTGCTGTTGATGGCCTCGCCAAGCCGCCTGAACGGCGCGTGCGGCCACGAACTGTTTATAATCCATGATCAGCAGCGAGGTACTGCACTGGATCCGTTCGTTATCTCATTAATTTTACTCAAATATTTATAGGGGTATACGCACCGCGAATACTTTTGGTGAAACGATTCGCACGAACTGGAGGGATTTTCATCATTCCTAATTTCATTTCTAAAGAGTTTTGCGAATTAAATTCGAATGGATTTTGGTATATTTCATCTATTACTTATCTGGTAACACTGCAAATCTTATTTTGTTATGCTTAAAATGTGTCATTGTGTGTCAATTAATATTATTTTTTTTTTTTATTATTTTTTATGTTATTTATATTACTTTTTATTTTATTTTTTTGTGTTTTTTGTTGTTGTTTTGTGTATTATAATTTTATGTTTTATGGAAATTTGGATTTTAATAAAAATTAAAATGCGTCGCCTTCTTCATGTCATGATAAAACTTATTAATTTTTTTTTTAAATAAAAATACTTAATATGAATAATTGAATTTGCATCCAAGATCTAAAAACAATTATGAATAATTCGAATTTTCTCTGTTGAGCCTTCGTTCTGCCTTAACTCACATATCTTTCTGGACTTTCTATACCTACGATTATACATTTAGTTTTTTGACAATCGTATACTCACTTGCCTTCAGAACCTCAAGTAGTTTCTAGATAAACTAATTTCTAGACGAACTTCCCATCGCATAGATGTAGATAATCATAAAAAGCTTTTGTCGTCAGCTTGGCCTTATCGCGCATATTGTTGTGCTCTCCAATCTATCCGTACATTGACAATAATTTCAAAATTGATGATGTGCACATAATAAAGTGTCAAATATCAACACACATCAGAGCATTGCGAGACGTGCAGCCATCATCATCAGCAGCGTAGTCGATGGCTCGAGCAGCTGCGCAAGGGGAGATGAGGAGGAGGTAATGGCTATGAAGACAGCTTCAACTGCGACAAGTAGCGGGAATAAATAAACCAAACGTGCGCGCTGTACCTAAATAAAATAAAAAAATAAATAAACAAAACTAGAAAAGTAGCCGACTTAAAGATATCCTTTAAAGCATTAATGAGTCATGCCTAAATAAATCTATATCTCAAGCTAAGAGAAAATTCTTTTGAGTAGTTTTCATAATATTAGAACTGTTTTATAATTATAGTTGCATCAAATTTATTATCTAGCTCTCTAACTCTTTGCCAAACTCCCACTGCTAGTGCTTTCTCATCAGCTCAAAATACTGGGAAAATACAGGGTATCATTGCTGAAGCCAACAACAACAAAATGGAGCGAAAAAAGGAGCAGGAAAAGAAAATTGACAAAATTGATTGAGCGCACAAAACTCGGCGCACGTTGGCTCTCAGAGGCGTGGCCAGCAGTGTGGTGGTGGGGAGGGGGGCGTGGCAGGTCGAAGGGGCCTGGATGTCAACATTGAAAAGTTAACGCCTGTCATACGTCCAAGCCCCTTGAGCAACTGCCGCGGCAGCTGGATCTGCCTCTTTGACTCGCATTTCGATCAGACAATTTTTCACCTTTAAGCATTTGGGGCCTTGGGTTGTTGCTGCTGCTGGGAATTTGTTTTTATTGTTTTCCTTCTCCACCATTTGACATGCCATTTTATCTATTTTCCTCTCCTTTTTCTTCCCCCTCACTGCAGCTGCTTTCATATTTTTTAGCCAGCGTGTGAGCGGATTAGTTGAAAATATTTTTTGCATAGAATATCACAGAATTAATTTTTTTTAAAATGCGATTTTATACACATAAAATATTTGTAAATATATTTATTAGCCAGCTGAGAATTTTTTGATTGGAATTTTTGATGTTGGGCAACCTTATTTATTTATTTGGTTTATCTAAAAATATATTGTTTTTGCAGTATTTAAAGAAATAAAACAGTTGCACATATTGAAATAAATTTTATTTGTTTGTTTTTGTCTTAAAATCCCTTCAAATCATATTATTTTTTGTTTTTTATTTTATTTATTTTTTTTATTTTGTTATTGATTTTTTTTTAGAAATAGAATGTTGAATTGATTCCTTTTTCATTTTAAATAAATTAAAAAATATATTAAAAAAAAAAAAAAATGAATATTTTTTTTTGATATGTGGGAGTTGATGAAAGTCTAAGTGCCAGTTAATCCATTCTATAGATCGATATAAATATTAAGTTATATAAGGAAACGAAAACTCACTTGGAGTTCTTGGCAACGCTTTGGCAAACTCATTAAAAAAGAAAGGTGTTAATGGCAGTCTTCAAATTTCAGGTATTCCAGTGAGTTTCCTGGTGGCATGAACCTTGATGTAAAGTGAAGCGGCGTTGCATGGCTAACTGCTAAAGTGCTTGTTATAAATAAGGAGTTGGCAACATGTGCATTTGACTGATTACTAATTAACGCTCATTCATTTGCCTTTGTTTGGCTTGAAGCCTCTTGTTGTTGGCTGTTCAAGCAGCAGCAGCAGCAGCAGGAACAGCAGCAGCAAGAAGAAGAGGTGTAGCACCTGTCTTTCATGCTGGCAAGTCGCATTTTTCTTATGAAGAATTTCGCCTTTGTTTAGCGCTGGCATTTAATTTATTTTTGGCCCTGGCCAAGAAAGCACAGCCGACCGAGAACCCAAGCGACATCGTTCGCTCACATGAGCAATTTTTGAGCCAAAATCCTAGCATTCTACCTATAAATACTCGGCATGCATACAATGGCCTATGCCATCTGTACACGTGGCAACCAAACAGCAACAGCAACAACAACAACAACAACAATAGGCTCGTAGTAAGCTCACACTTAACGAAATACAACAAAGAAAACGCAAACACAATTATTACAAAAGCAAATTTTCTACACAAATCAAAACTTTTTTGGAGGAGGAGAATGAATGACAATTTTACTAAATATAGTTCAGAATTGAATAAAAATCAAAGCTCCTTGAATAGAAATTCTATTTAATTCTTGTGTAAATGAAATTCCAGCTAAATTTTGTTTTTTTTTTTTTTTAAATACTTGATCACATTGCAGCTGATTTATTTGGGAATAACAGTCTTACACGTGTTTTCGCTCAGTGTAGAGCCGCCATACGTGCAGACGCATTGGCCGCATGCTTCGAGCGCTCGAGCAAATGACATTTAGCATGTGCCTGCTCTTTGGAGCGGCTCTCCCGTTTGCCAATCTACGTGACTATGGCATAGGTCGTCTTACCAAATTGGATTTCACGCAGCAGCAGGAGCAGCAGGAGCCGCTACGACATGGACCCGCCTCCGACCATAATTAATATGCACGATATGTGGCGTTAAGTTGTGTGAAAATTACTTGTGCGTTGACGTGACGAGCCGCAGTAGTCTTGGGCAAAAACCAACGGGGGAAAAGCATTTGCCACGCCCACCCACTTAAGCATCCTCAACGTGTTTCTCTTCAGCGCCTGCCATCCATAATTGTTATTCGATTACGAATTTGATGTAAGTATTCACTAATTAGTTGTTGATGATCAGCCGGCATTCGAGACGGACAAATTAATCAGTTTGATATTATAGGAGCATTATGAATTAGGCTAATCAATTGTTTATCGTATTCATTGAATTCAATTGAAGAAGAAGAGAACACAGCTATGGGCAAATAAATCTGTATGATAAATAATCTGATGTGCGAAGTTCGGGAGAAGAGATTCAACTATTTTGCATTCCCCAAATATTTCCTAATCTAACTAAACAGGCTGCACTAGATCATTGACCTAATTAAGTAGCGCTACCATTTGGTCTATATACCAGATTCGTAGAGCTTCTTCCATTAAAAGAAAAAATACATTTGCATTCCACGAAGAATGACAAACGGCCCGCACGCTTCACATAAATATTTATGCTAGCGTCTTAGTTATAGCAAATAAATAGAGTGCGATATAGAGAGAGAGAGAGAATTAAGGCAATTGCTGGGAATAAACAACTAATAAATGATCTCTTAATAGATTGCAACAGATAAAAACTGTGCGACTAGCGAATGCTCTTTT